TCTTTACCCTCCTCAGGCTCCAACACCCCACAATGGGCCACTGTTGCTGCTTATCTATCTGGACTCCTTCATTCCCCAACTAATGGCTTTTAGATTGAATTATTCAGGAAGGAAGGAGGAAGACAGGTAAGCTCATAATTATTTTTTAATTAAGAAAAAAAAATGCTCCAATCATTTTGATTCCTGATTGTCATTCACAGGAGTATTGTTGGCTACTCTTTTACTTGTGGGCAGGAAAAAAATCAGATTTCATTATTAGACTGGATGTGGTTAACTTGTGTCCACAATAATATATATATATATATATTTTTTTTTTTTAAATTTTTTTTAAATTGGGGAATTGGGGGAGGGGAACAGCATTGGGGAATCGGAGAAGGGGAACAGACAAGTTGCTGTCCTTTTGTTCTTCAGTTTAGTTGTGGAGGACGTTGCTTCACTGGCCCATGTTGGTATTATCATTGTGCTTTTCCCGGTGATGCTGTCGCTCGCCGGCCATTGGACGGCCACTCATGGCAGCTCACAAAAGCTCACGCCCGCTGCCAGCCAGCCCCACTGCAGCCTATGCCATTGCTGGCAACTCACAGCAGCCCAGTTCCAGGTTGAGCTGTTGTTCACCATCTTAGCTGTAGAGGGCGCAGCGTCACTGGCCTCATGTGGGATCCAAACTGGGGTCCTGCTGCTCAGAGTTGAAGTCTCAAGCCAACTCTTAACCAACGTGCCACTCGGCCAACCCAGCAATAATATTTTGAATGGTTCACATAGCTACAAAGAAAGGAGCCATGTGTGAGGTTATTAGCTACACAGATTTAGGAAACAGAATAGCTGTGTCCAAGAGTCCTACCAGAGACTCAGCATTACTCCTTCAGCCTCATTGGGCCTCAACATCTTAAACTCTAAAATGGAGATTCTACTTCATACGGTTCTTTAAACAGATTAAGTGATAGATATCCTTAGCACAGTGTCTGGCAGGTGGATTTGCCTTGAAACTAAAGACACTTAAATTTTACGGCTCTCACTTGCATAGACTACTCTAAGGCGCTGTATTTGTAATTTTTTATTCTTGTTTTTAAAGAGAACCTCCAAGTTGTATAAAATTCAGGCCCTAACCAACTTGGGTCTACCCCTGTCTGGTACACAGTAAGTGTTTGGTAAATGTTAGTTTTTCTTACTTATATCTGATATTAAGAGTGGTCCTCTAAGTGGTCCTTTTATTTTGTATTTTGTTTTTCTTTTTGCTTTCAAGTTGCCCCATTTTATAGACAAACTATAACATAAGCCATAATGTAGGACGTTTCTTTCATTCAATCCATTCATTTAAAAATTGTTTATTGAGGCCAGCCAAGTGGCTCAGTTGGTTAAGAGCGTGAGCTCTGAGCAACAGGGTCAATGGTTCGATTCCCACATGGGCCAGTGAGCTGCGTCCAAGCTGAGCTGTCGCTGAGCTGGTGAGAGCACGTGCTCTTAGCAGCAAAGGTTGCCGGTTCGACTCCCACATGGGATGGTGGGCTACGCACCCCCGCAACTAGATTGAAAGTGGCGACTGGACTTAGAGCTGAGCTATGCCCTCCACAACTAAGATTGAAGGACAACAACTTGACTTGGAGCTGATGGGTCCTGGAAAAACACAATGTTCCCTTTCCCCAATTCCCCAACACTGTTCCCCTACCCAATTCCCCAATAAAAATCTTTTAAAAAAATATTTATTAAGTGGCTACTATGTCATAGGAGCTCACAATCCTGTGGCCAAGACAGACATATACATTAATTACAATACGTATAGTAAGTGCTGTAATAAATGTATGTACAGCCACATAGAGAAAGAAACAACAGACTCTAAAGGGATTTGATAAGCAGGCTTTTTTTTTTTTTAGATTTTTATTGGGGAATTGGGGGGATGGGAACAGTGCTGGGGAATTGGGGAAAGGGGAACAGACAAGTTGCTGTCGTTTTGTTCTTCAATCTAGTTGTGGAGGATGTTGCTTCACTGGCCCAAGTTGGCACCATCATTGCGCTCTTCTCTGGCGAGGCAGATCAGTTGCCGGCTTCTGGACGGCCGCTCACTGCGGCTGCTGGCCGCTCACGCTGGCTGCTGGCCACACACGGTAGCCCATGGCAATCCACTGCCACAGGGACTGCAGCCCACGCCGTCGCCGGCGACTCACAGCAGCCCAGCTCCAGGTTGAGCTGTTGTTCAGCATCTTAGCTGTAGAGGGCAGTGTCACTGGCCCTCATATGTGGGATCCGAACCGGGGCCCTCTGGCATCCCAAGCGAGTTCTTAACCATCGTGCCACTCGGCCGGCCCCGATAAGCAGGCTTTTGACTGAGCAGCTTTAGTGGATAAATATGAGATTTGGAAGGTAGAGAATTATTCAGTTTGAAAAAGCAACATATTCAAGGCCTTAATTCCTTCACTGAATTTATCAAGGGTCTACATTATGTCAGGTACTACTATGGATGCTGGAGATACAGTAATAAACAAGTCAGGCAAGACTGGGCCTTCACAGAGCTTACATTCTAGTAGTGGGAGTACTAGATAGGGCAATGTGATGAGAGTATCACACAAGTGTAGGAGTGTGTGTCTATTCTTAAATGAATGGTAAGAGGCCTTTCTGAGGAGGAAACATTTGAGGTGAGGCTTGAATGACAAGAAGGAGTCAGACATGAGAAGGCTGGGGACAGGGGAGAGCACTTAAATGCAAGAACTCCTGGTAGCAAAGGGCCTAGAATTGCCAAAACAGTTTTGAAAAAGAAAGCAAAGTTGGAGGACTCACACAATCCAATTTTAAGACCTAACTATAGAGTTACAGAAATAAGGACAGTGTGTTTTTGGCGTAAGGATATTCCCATCAATGCAAGAAAATAAAGAATCCAGAAATACTCTTCATATGATTGATGAATTTCAAGAAGGTTAATTCAATGGAAAAATGATAGTCTTTTTAAAAAATAGTGCTGAAACAATTAGACATCTGTATGTAAAAAAAAGAACCACAACTCAAATCTTATACCACATAAAGGAGTCCACTTAAAATGGATGATAGAACTAAATATGAAACCTAAACAAGAAAACATAACTGAAAGTCTTCATAATCTTGGGTTAAGCAGAGGTTTCTTAGCTAGGCTACAAAAACACAAACCATAAAAAAATGATAAATTTGGACTTCATCAAAATTAATAACTCTGTTCTTCAAATGATCCTGTTTTAAAAAATGAAAACATAGCCACAGACTGGAAGAAAATATATGTAAAACACATATCTAATAAAGGACTGGTATTGGGAATACAAAAAGAACTCTCACAATTCAATGATAAGAAAACAAATAATCTAATTTTTAAAATGGGCAAAACATTTGAACAGGCACTTCACCAACTAAAAAATACTGATGACAAATATATAAAGAGAGCCGGCCGAGTGGCACGTTGGTTAAGAGCTGGCTTGGGACACCAGAGGGCCCCAGTTCGGATCCCATATATGAGGGCCAGTGATGCTGAACAACAGCTCAACCTGGAGCTGGGCTGCCATGAGTCCCCGGGGAAGGCAGGTGGGTTGCCATGGGCTACCGTGTGTAGCCAGCAGCCACCGTGAGCAGCCAGCAGCCGCAGTGAGCGGCCACCCAGAAGCCAGCGACTGATCTGCCTCACCCATGAAAAGCGCAATGATGGTGCCAACTTGGGCCAGTGAAGCAGCGTCCTCCACAACTAGACTGAAGAACAAAAGGACAGCAACTTGTCTGTTTCCATCCCCCAATTGCCCAATAAAAATCTTAAATATATATGTGTATATATTTATTAAATATATATATTAAATATATATATTTATATATAAATATATATAAATAAAATATATATTAAATATATATTAAATATATATTTATTATATATATTAAATATATATGTGTATATGTGTATATATGTGTATATATATATGTGTATATATATATATAAAGAGATGCTGAACATCATTAGTCCTTATGGAAATGCAAATTAAACCACAATGCCATATTACCACACACCCATTAGAATGACTAAAATTAAAAATACAGACAATACAAAAAACAACAACAAAAAAGAAAAAATACAGATAATACAAAATGCTCGGAAGGATGAGGAGCAACTGGAATTCTCTTACACTGCTGGTGGGAGTGCAAAATGATATACCTCCTTTGGAAAACAATTTGGTGGTTCCTTATGAAGTTACACATACACTTAACACATAACCCAGAGAGCCCACTCCTGGGTATTTACCCAAGAGAAATAAAAACATATGCCCACGCAAATACCTGTACATGTATGTTCATAGCAGCTTTATTGTAATAACCCCAAACTGGAAACTCCCTAAAGGTGTATCAATAGGTGAATAGATGTACAAATTATAGCACATTTATACATTAAATACAACTCAGAAATATAAAAGAATAATACATGCAACAACATGGATGAATCTCAAAAGCATTATGCAAAGTGAAAGAAGTCAAACACAAAACTCTTCATAACTGTATACTACTTAATGACATTCTGGAAAAGACAAAACTATAGGGACAGGAATCAAGTCAGTGGTTGCTTGAGGCTGTGGTGGTGGTAGTGGTGGAAAGGACTGACTACAAAGGGGCACATGACAATTTGTTGGGGTGATAGAAATGTCCTATCTCTCAATTGTGATGGTTACATCATTGTACACATCTCCAAAGTCAACACATGTACATTTTAAAATGCTGAATTTTACTGTATGTAGATTATTCCTCAATGAACCTGAATTTAAAAAAAGAACCACACTGGTAACAAGTGTGGTTTTAAAATGTGTCCATAAATGTTTGGCACTCCTTACTTCAAAGGTGGAGCCTAATTCTGTTCCCCTTGCATGTGGGCTGTGCTGACTTAGTGACACACTTCTAAAAAACAGAATACGGCAGGAGTGATGGTGTGTGACTTCTGAGAATGTCATAAAAAGCACTGCAACTTTCTTCTTGTTCTCTCTTGTATCACTCACTCTGGGGGAAACCAGGTACCAGACTGTGAGAATACTTATCAGCCTTATGGAGAGGCCCATGTGATAAGGAACTGACAACCTCTTGTCAACACCACGGGAATGAAACATCTTGGAATTGGATCCTTGAGCCCCAATCCTTGAGTCAACTGGGGCTGCATCTCTGGCTGACATGTCTGCAACCTCATGAGAAATCCTGCGCCAAAACTAACTAGCTTAAGCCAGTCTCTAATTCCCAACCCACAGAAACTGTGAGATAATAAATATTTGTTGTTTTAAGCCACTAAGTCTGGGGTAATTTGTTACACAATTATAGATAGCTAATACACTGAGAGATGGGGGTGTGATTTAAAGTTGAAGAAGTGGATTGTGTAAAGACTCATAGGCATTGTGAGACCTTCAGATTTAACTCTAAAAAGTCCAATGGTGAGCCATTGGTTTTATTCAGAAGAATAACAATCAAAAGTTTTGCTTTAAATAATCACTTCACTATGGAGTGGTCAAGAATGGAGGCAGGGAGACCAGTTAGGAAGCGATTTCAGTAGTACAGGTGAGAGATGATGGTGGCTTAGACAAGGGTGGTAACAGTGGAGATGGATGTATAGAGAGAAGGAAGAAGAGGAATCAAGGACGATCCTAGAGGTATTTTTGTTTGACTAGTTGAAATGAAGATAACTGTAAAAGGAACATATTGGGAGACATGATGGATGGAGGCAAGGCCTGAAGGGGTGTATAAGCATAATGGGACCATACTGCCAATAGGTCAGTATGGTTAGAGTTTATGGTGATTAATGGGAGGAGAGTGGTGAGAAAGTAGGCTGAAAAAAGCCATGAAAGAAAGGCCCTGTTTATCATCAAGTCTCTGGACTTTAATCCAGTTAGCCACTGGAGGCCACTAAAAGATTTTAAGTAGGAGAATGATTGGTCAAATTCACATTTTTAGAAAGACAACTAACAGCTGCAATATAGAATTCGGTTTAAGGTTGGGAGATATTGGAAACCAGGAGATATTCTGAATAACTTTCTGATTTTTAGGAGGCAGCATAGTACAGATGCTTCTTGACTTACAATGGGGTTATGTCCCAATGAACTCATTGTAAGTTCAAAATATCCTCAGTCAAAACTGCATTTAATACACCTAACCTACTGAACATCATAGCTCAGCCTACCCTACCGTAAACATACTCAGAACCCTTACATTAGCCTACAGTTGTGCAAAATCTAACACAAAGCTTATTTTATAATAAAGTGCTGACTATCTCATGTCATTTATATAATTATGGCTTGCCACCTTCAAGCTGGGTAATTATCTTGAGTTTCATCTCAAGAGTAATTGCCTTTCTCTTCTCACCAGAAGAAAGAGACACAGATGGGTGTTTTGTAGACATGATGGGATTCAAAAACACAATATCCAAAGAATGCTGACAACACAGGACACTGTACAGTATCTGTTGTTTACCCAGTAACGTGGCTGATCCGGAGCTGCGGCTGTCAATGCTTACCATCACAAGTGTTGTACCACATATCACTAGCCCAGGAAAAGTTGAAAATGCAAATACAGTTTCTACTTAATGTGCATCACTTTTGCACCATTGTAAAGCCGAAAAATTGCAAGTCAAACCATCCTAAGTTATAGTATAGTAGAAAGAACATAAATGGCTTTGGAGTTAGATAGGCCCAAGTTTAAATCTTCACAATGCAAGTTATCATCTATTATGGATTGAATTGTGCCCCCCCCACCAAAATTCCTATGTTGAAGTCCTAACTTCCAGTACCTCAGATGTGACCTTATTTGGAAATAGAGTCATTGCAGATGAGATTAGTTCAGGTCATATTGGTATGACTGGTATCCTTATAAAAGGGGAAATTTGGTCACCGACATGCACACAGCAATGATGCCATTTGAATACGAAAGCATATATCTATAAGTCAAGGAATGTCAAAGATTACCAGCAAACCACTAGAAGCTAGGGGCAAGGTATAGTACAGGTTCTGCCTCACAGCCCTCAGAAGAAACCAACTCTGCCGACACCTTGATCTCCCAGACTTCTAGCCTCCAAAACTGTGAGATAATAAATTTCTGATCCACTCAGTTTGTGATACTTTGTTATGGGAGCCCAAGCAAACTAATATACCATCTCTGAGATCTTGGACAAATTATTCTACCTTGCTAATGCCTAGTGTCATAATCTGTAAAATAAAGGTAATTGTATCTACCTAATAGGGTAGTCACAAGAATTAAAATGAAATGGCACTTGCAAAACACCTGGCATAGGGAGTCACTACATAAACTTTTTTTTAAAAAAGATTTTATTGGGGAATTGGGAGAGGGAAACAGCGCTGGGGAATCGGGGAAGGGGAACAGACAAGTTGCTGTCCTTTTGTTCTTCAGTCTAGTTGTGGAGGACGTCGCTTCACTGGCCCATGTTGGTATTATCATAGCGCTATTCCCGGGTGAGGCAGTCGCTCACCAGCCATTGGACAGCTGCTCACGTCCGCTGCCAGCCAGCCCCACTGCAGTGTACACTGTTGTGGGTGACTCACGGCAGCCCAGCTCCAGGTTGAGCTGTTGTTCACCATCTTAGCTGTAGAGGGCGCAGCATCACTGGCTCTCATGTGGGATCCGAACTGGGGCCCTGCTGTTCAGAGCCAGTGTCCCAAGCCAACTCCTAACCAACGCACCACTCAGCCTGCCCTAAACATTTTATATTTGTGGAACACTGATGCTACCCACGGAAAATGGGATATTTCTAAAGATTTTTGGAAAGACTGACTGCAATTGTCAGGGTCATGTGCAATGGAACCTAAAAGTAATAGGATGGAGATGACCCCTTTTTCCTGTTGGATTGTGGAGCCCCAGGATTGTCTTGCTCCCTGTGAAAATGTAGCTCCTTGTAGGATAGAACACTAGTACAAGAACCAAAAGTACCCTTAAAGGCAGGAAGACTGAGGCTAACTAACATCCTGTGGTGGGGTAAAGGTGGGAAGGGAAGGAGGTGAACAAAGCTAGAGAAGAATGGGCCAGATGCCTTAGGCCTCCAGACTTCCCAGCTCACTTCCTTAGGTAAAAAGGTTTAGGCTGGGGGTCGTCCTCTCCTCAGCTCCATAAGGGAAACCCAACAGAGGCCTCACCAGTCTCTGGAACGCCTAGTCCTTTCAGGCAGGGAGTCCCTTGCCAAAACAAACAATCCCAGCTCTACGATTGTGCTCTGGCTGGGGTAGGGGAGAACAAAGATCCCTTTCTTTGCTTCCCCAACTCTATGGCTCCAGCCAAAGGCACTGTTTACACAATCTTCCCTGGTGAAGAATTTGTTCCTTTCTCTCTATGTTACAGCTGGAAAAGATTGACTCCCTCCTTGCCTGTTCCTTTTCCCCAGACCCCTAGTCAGGAAAACTGCCCAGTACCTGAACCTCCCACCCTCAGAAAAGATGTCAGCACACTTAGGAGTAACTCCAGGCCCTTTTTTGAAGTGACAGAGAACCTCAAAGTTTTAGTGGCAGAAAGCCTGTTTGGCTAGGAAAGGGAGACTGGCTGGAGAGATCAGGGGCCTAGCTTGTCTCCATTCCAATTTTGTTTATTCCGCCCTCTCTCATTCCCAAGGGATTCCTAGGCTTTCCCAGGTTGAGATCTATGAGTGAATCAACTAATCAAAATCCGGGGCAGATTTGGGTTCCTTCTTTAAAAGGATGACAAAGTGGATCGGATGAAAATAGCATTTTCTAGTGAGAGTTCTTCTTTACTTTTTAGTTTACTAACTCCAGCGGCACGTTTCCCTCAAGCTCCAAAAACAAAAGCAAGGAGAAAAGGAAGCCCCAGAGTGGTGCAGTCTAATTTTAGCACTGGCAGAGAATCCTAGTGTTAAGTTACCCCTGGTAAATTGGTAACTAAGAACAGCAGAGATAGAGACAATTTACAAGATCTAGGTCTCCAACAAGAAGTTTAAAAATCTAATTTCACTTACTTCTATATTTTCAAGAGGCACATCTCAAGGAAATGTGCCCATTTCACACACGGTAAGGAACTTAAAGAACAAGAAGAGTTCATCAAAAGTGACTTGAACCCAAGATTCTGGGACTTTCAATCTGGTCAGCTCCACAGGGCCAAGCTGCTTTCTGAAAATTTTATGGGTATTTTGCACTGCAGACATTTTCCCTGAGCTAAGTCCCCACTGATTATTCTCCTGTTGCTAAGGGAGTTATGGGCTAGCTGTTTGTAACCCTTCGCGGCTATGTTTTGGAAACTTAAGAAGTCCCTGTTTCAGCTGTTGGAAGACATGGATGGAAAGGACTTATGGGGTACAAAGGAGATGCAAGTCTGTTTAGGCTCAGACACCATCGCTACACATACACATAACCCCCCACCCCTCACCCCCAGTAAGATCTGCAGAGTTCGTTTCTGTAAAAGCAGCTTCACAGTTCCTGGAAGGCTCTAATCCACAATGGTTAAAAATACCCATCTTGGAGACAGAGCTGAGCCAATTAAACTGAACCTGCCCAGAAACCCAGGAAAAGAGCAGTGGGGTAAAATGAAGCCAGGGGTAGACAGAAGACCACCTATCTGCAAGATAACAACAGGGATGGTAATTATAAGAAACAGATCCATCGCCTTCACTGAGAAATCTAAAAACCTGTCCAGATTTGTCTTTCCCTCTCCTCCAATGATGTCCTGGTCCCCATACCCTGTGGTATGGTATTATATAATGCAAGGAGCTTTGGTAATCAGTTTCTATTGTTTTATCACTTCATACCTAGAAAACCTTGAGGACTAAGTCATAGTTCTTGAATCTGAGTCTGCTTCTCATCTGTTAAAACAAAAAAAAACATCTACTTTACACAAATGAAATAGTTACAGTAAAAGAGCATGGCATACAATTTTTGTTTAGAGGTCTTTTTGTGTTTAGCCTTTCTGAGCTAGATTTAATGAAGTTAGGAGGAAGAGGGTCAGAGAAGGCAACTTTTGGAGTTTCCTTTCAATGCAAGATTTAGATGAAACCTCATTCCTTTAGTAGATTGAAAGATTGTACTTATATTAGCTTTCTACTGCTATATAACAAATAACCACAAACTTAGTGGTTTAAAACAACATCCACTTATTACCTTACTGTTCTGTAGATCATAAATCCAGGCAGGCTTGACTGGGTTCTCTGCTTAGGGTCTCACAAAGCAACAAAGTCAAGGTGTTGACTGAGCTGGGCTCTTATCTAGAGGTTCTGAGGAAGAATCTACTTCCAAGCTCATTTAGGTTGTTGGCAGAATTCTGTTCCTTGAAGTTGTAGGACTGAGGGCCCCATTTCCTTGCTGGCTGTTTAAGTGGTCAATTTCAGCTCTTATTGGCCACTTTGCAGTCCTTGCATATGGTTCCCTCCATCTTTAAAGCCAGCAATGGTGCATCAAATCATTCCTTCAATTCTCTCCGATTTCTCCTGCCACCAGAGAAAGCTCTTTACTTTTAAGGGCTCATGTGATTAAATCAGGGCCCACACAGATAATCTCCCTCTTAGTTAACTGCGCCACATGATACAGCACAACCATGAGTGCAATATCCCATCAAATTCACAGGTTCTGGGAATTAGATCAAGACATTTTAGAGGGTCACTAAAAAAATTCTACCTACCATAGCACTTATTCAAAAAGTGAGAGTAAAGAAAGCAAACAAAAACTAAAAAAAGAAATGAAAACGAAACAAAAAATGAGAGGACTTAATCTTTTTTGGGGTCGGAGGGGGAGGAATGGTAATCAACTATCTCGGTCTAATCACTTACACAAAGAGAAGCCACGCATTTGAGATGAGAGGCCTGACCTTCTGTCATGTCTTCTACAATTTCTAAAGTGGCTGCTTTGATCACAACGTACTAGTGCCTTGAGGTAAATGCTGAAAAATAAGACATTTTAAGGAATGCCTGGGACTAAAAAATCTCCCCATGTTTTTCCTCATCCAACAGTGAGGACACCAAGCTGTCCAAGAGTATGTCCTAAAAATACATGTTGGAAAATGCACATTTTTAGATATGGCTCAATAAAGACAAAGTTTTATTGCTCAAAACTTGGAGGACTAGGACAATATTCTCTACTTACCGGTATGAAGCTACTCTTCTTCCTTTTTCTAGTTCAGAATTCAACTCAAACACTCTTTCATTTCATTTCTCTTGAATGGAGGTAAGAAGACAGAGCAGCCTCTAGGTTCCTGGACACCAACTTAAGCTAAACCAAGTGTTGTTTCCTGAGCAGCTTTCTCATCCTTATGACCTGAGAAGGCCTCACACTAATAAACCCATCCCGAAAGGGAGGCTGATCAGGGTTCCTCATTACTGCTGTTTAGCATTTAGATGATTTTCAAAGGACATCATTTTTTTTCTGATGAGGATGATACAAACCTATAGACACTCCTCCACTTGTATTAAAGAAACAACTGACTCTTAAGAAACTGAGAAGAGGGAAGCAAGCCTTGCTACCTTCAGCATCCCCAGATACTTGACAGCCAGACTTTATAGTTTGGTCAATTCCCTTTTCTGACAACTATTAAGAGGGAGAAGCTGTCTGTAAAATGCCTATATGCTCTGAAGTCCACAGAAAATGAGAAAGCAAATTATAATCAATATACATTCAACTTTGATGGCCATCCTTTCCAAATACTCAAAGGTACCTCTGTTGCATGCACATAATTCCTGGGATGAAAATTATTATCCCTTTAGTAAGTAGATGGGGAGAAACTGAGGTCCCACAAAGTTATTAGTGAATTGCCCAATGACACAGTGGCCAGTGGTAGAAGAGAGATTAGAACCAACACTTCTGATTTCAAATCATGTGCTCTTCTTAAAATTACAAAGACAAGCAGAAAGCTTTCATTCATAATGTTATCAAAATTGGAAAGAACTTCAGAAAATTTGCTCTTGCATCCTCTACTAAAACATAGCAGTCCTCTACCCCAAATTACTGGCAACTTGGGTTGCCAATAAATATCTCTTGGGGCCTGAAACTAAGAAGATCCAGGTTGCCTTGACTCCTCCTGAAGACATTTGCTTTCAAGCTTCTCGCAGCCCCACCTCATCATTCACCTCAAAGAACAAAAACACGTGGGCCACCAAGCCATGTTCTCTCCAAGCACCTAAGATAAGGGGTTAGACTCAATCCCAAAGAAAGGGCCAAGGAGTGAAAGAAAACAGATGATTGATCTGATGACTCAGGAAAGGGATGGGCAATGGAGGCTCCTACCAGAGGTTCAAACTCAGGTGACCGAAACAAAGGAAGGGCTATTCCTCATCTCCAAATATGTAGATCCCTTCCCACCTACTCTTGGCTGGATGAGCTGATCTTGTGAGATGAGGTCCACTTAAGAGCCCCACAGCTCAGAATAGATACGATTCCTCTAAACCTCCAATTACAATAGCAAAAGGGCAAGGGTAATTTGGGGTGATCTGCTTCCTGAGCATCATTCTACTCTGGGGTCAAATCTCTGCCCTGGGCTTTTAGTCATTGATTGAATCAAAAGAAAGTCCATTGTGGTCATCTACATTATCATTTCTGAAACAACTTTAATTTATACTCAGTTATTTGAAGCAGATGTTAAAGGCTTAAAGTTTATCGAGCCTTTAGAAAATATAAGTAATTCTTTTTTTTTTTTAAGCTGAGCCATCCTGCCACCAGTTGGCAGCTCAGCGGCTGCTCAGCTTGGGCCAGGAATCGAACCACTGTTGCTCAGAGTTCAAACTCTTGAGTGAGCTCTTAAGCAATTGAGCCACTCAGCTGGCCCTATAAGTAATTCTTTACCTTTATAGTAACCCCACTGTCCAAAGTCCCTATTGAGGTCTTTTCAAGGGAAGATTTTTACGAGGTTTATCTTTGCTTATTCTACCCTTTCATTTTAGCTTGGAAAGATAATAGTCACCAGCAACACTGGGCTTGAGAGCCCCACAAAACCAAGTGTGGCAGTCGTACACCTTGGGCTACAAGACAGGCTCCTTTCTCTAGCTCCAGCTATTAGTGAAAGTTCCTGAGAGAATCCTCTCACCTCTCAAAGACTGTTTCCTCACTTGTGAAGTGAGGTGGTTGGTTTAAATAAAAACTGTGACTACGATATTGCTGAGATATGTCACGCTAGATACTTCTAGAGATACAAAGATGAACATGACCTAGTCCCTGCCTCAAGAAACTGACAATCTAACTTGGAAGATATGGCACACAAATCTCACAATATCACAGACCATATAAGCATTATAAAGAATGTGTGCTCTACGGTCCTTTATAGGAATTAATGGTCATTTTTACTGCCAGTAGAAACCAGATAAGAGCTTCATGGAGGAAAAAGCAGCATTTAAACTAAGTCTTTCAGGATAACAGGGAGAATTTGAAAAAGAGGAGTGAGCCAAGATTCAGGGAAAGAAAGCAGAGATGGCCAGGCAAAAGGCAAGTGGTTGAAGATATGATAAGGACAGGAACACAGTGAAAATATTTGGGAAATGACCAATAGTGCACTTTGGGTAGTGTATGGGAATAAAAAACCACAAAGCTGAGAAAGTTGTCAGACTGTTTTTGAATTGATAAATGGCAAAACCAGTCCTATGGTTCATGAGGATTACCTTGGCAGTGGTAAGTAGAAGTAAATGCTGAAGGGAAGAGACTAGAGACAGAGGGTCAGTTAAGAGGTTACTGCAACAGACCAGGTAAGTGGCAGTGAGAGCCTGAGCCAGGAGAGCAGTAGTGGAAACAGAGAGCGCATTAGTCATCATATTAAGTCAGTATTGTAAGTTGCTACTGACCCAATCATCTAAGGTAAGTAATAGGCCATCCCAGGTAAAAATTATTAAAAAGGAGTCCTAATTTGAATAAAGCTTTCCTGACACCGAATTAAAAACAGGTGAGGCCAGACCCATGTTGACTTTAGAACCATCACCACCCTCCAGGCCTTATACTTTCACCAAGGCACTTAGCCAACTGGGGAAAAGAAATATACACAGGAGACTCAAGAAACATCTTATTAATACAGTATTTATTTATCTTCCTTCTGTCAAACCCTGAGCCAACCACTTTCCCCAGGCTGCCTGGGGAGGTATAGGAAAAGGAACATACAGGGCAGACAAGACACAGGAGAAAGAACTACGGGAGGTGGCGATGGCTCCTTCACATGGCGAAGAGGATGAGAAAGGCCACCATCAGGCAAAAGAGCCCCATGGCCTCTGAGAGGGCAAAGCCCAGAATGGCGTAGGAGAAGAGCTGTTGCTTCAGAGAAGGGTTCCTGGGAGAAGGGGAAGAAAAAAGACTGAATTTCTAGTCCACACAAAGAAAAGAACATCAAAGGCAGGCTCAGGGAGAATTCATCCCAAGCTCATCTTATGTAACAAATCTCTCGGGGTGACATCATCATGCCCTAAATCTTGCTCTGACACATCAGGGTTTTACAGAGACTGAGTGAGAGAAGTGAACAATACAAAATTGTATACAAACATTACCACGTCTAATGGCACCCATATCATCATAACTTAAGATCTCTGGGCCTGGACACTTAACTATTCAGGGCCCAACCAGGATGGAGGAGGTATCCTACTGGAGAGGCAGGGTCTATCATAGCAGTGTTTTCAAAGTTTAAGCAGCAGAACTCCCAAATATGAAACATATAAAAGCCAAAAACGGCAATGGTAAAAAAGTGGGGTATGTTAAAAGCTTGTTTTACTGGTCTCCCTTTCATTCTCTAAGACAGTCTCTGGGGCATACCCTCAGAACCCTAGGGCTTCATGGAACACAATTAGAAAAACACTGCTCTAGAGGACAAGGGAGTCAGAGCAAATACCTTCTCTCATTTCCAAACAGTCAAAAAATTTGGAGTTTTAAAAAGCTACAAATGGTCTACAGGGTTTAGATGATATGAATCAAAATGAGATAAAGAATTCCCAACTTTGAAAGTCAATATAAAAATTTGTTTCCCTTACTCTGTCACCTCTGGAAGTCTTCATGGATAAGGTAAAGCAACACCAGCTTTTAACATAATTGTGGGCACAGAAGAAGTTAGGCTTCTTGTTTCATATAAATCTTAAAAAATATACTTATTTCTCCAAAGACATTAAGATCTATCTAACTTGCGGGACTCTAGGGGATTAATTTAACTCTAACAGTGAGTTGCCCAGAGATGGTGGGGACCAAATAGTCCCAAGCATCAGGGAACAGCGGGCTGGCTGCAAAGGCAATTTTCCCCAGAGTAACAGAGGGGAATTCCCGGGGATGGGGAAAACAGCAGTGAAGCCACTATGTAACTGAGGCTCTAGAAAGGGGTAGCAAACTTTTTCTATAAAGGGCCAGATAGTAAATACTTTAGCCTTTGTGGGTCACATATGGTCTGTTGCCTTTTTTTTTTCCCCATGACATTTTAAAAATAAAAACCCCATTTTTAGCTCAGATAATACAAAACTGGGCTGTGTCCCAGACATGCCTGCCCACCCACCCTAGCTTGCCGACTCCTGCTATAAACCAAACCTGTTCTATAATGTTCTATAGCTGCACCATCCAATATGGTAGCCAACAGTCCCATGTGGCTACTGAGCACGAAATATGGTGGGTGTGACTGAGGAACTGAAAACTTAAACTTGGTGTACTTTCAATTAAAATTTAAATGCAAATAGTCACACATGGCTAGTGGCTACTGCATAGGGTAATGCAGCTGTAGATCCCCAAATATTTCTGCCTAGACCTTTGGAAAGCATATCAGAGAGCCAATGGAAGGCCCATCTTACCTGGCATAACCAATGATGAGGCTCCCAAACACAGTCCCAATTCCAGCCCCAGAACCAGCCACCCCGACTGTGGCAGCCCCAGCCCCAATGAACTTGGCTGCTGTGTCGATGTCCCTTGAAATGGCGCTGGTTTGGAAGCTACGGCTAGAAATAAATGATGTCTGGGTATGTGGGGCTGCCAAGCTGCTGAGGCTCTGTGAAGAAGAGGCAGGTAAAAGGTAACATTTTTAGGAAACCCCTTTTTACTTTGGAAACTTTTGTACTATTTAAACGCTTTATCCTATCAAATCCCATGGTTTCTCTCCCAAACAGAAAATCTTTTTACTCCTTGGAAAACCTCCTAAAATGCTGCAAAGCAGAACTTTTTAATGCAAGACATGGACTTCAAATACCTCCAAGATTCAAGTATGCTCTAGAAGTGTTAAGACCAAAGCTGAAGCTGTACTTAGTGCCCTAGGACTAAATGCTCCCAACTGAAGTCAGTGAATTAGGTCAAGTAATGGCAATTATTAGCAGCATACATGGGCACACGCTATCAGTGCGAGAGCTGAACACTAGAGCATATATGGTAACTGTTCTCCAGCTCCACTTAAAGCCAATGGCTTCCTTCCTTCACTAATTTTCGCCTGTGATGATTGTCCCGAGCACTCCCTCTACTGGTTCTGCCAGGTAAGCCTCCTCACCCCTCAACTCCAAACCACAGGCCCAATTCCACCTATAAGATACCTCATCTGTCAGTGTCTCCGGTCGCTTCAGCACCACTGCAGAGAGCGACCGGCTCAGCAGCTGAGAGGTGCTCCTGACCTAGTGGGAATGACACAAGAGCAAGGTCAAGAAAGATTGAAGAGGAGTTTCAGAACCATTCATCCCAAATTGTTGCTCGGATACCCCTTTCATTCTCTCGAACTTAAATCGGAATCTTGGATCATTCTTTTACTTTTAGCAAATTCTAGATTCAAGAACCTCACCATTTCTCTTGCTTCCTAGGCTTCTCCTTTGCTTCAAGAGAAGTCTACTTCCTTTTGGGCCACCCTCACTGTACCCTTTCACAAGCCTTGAGAATGGGAATAAATATAAACCTCAGCAACATTTGCTTCGCTCAATAAGGGAAATTTGACTAGCCCACAAGAAGGAAGCCAATAATTGGAGCATCATTCCCTGAATACATCCTTCTGTATTCTGAAAACAGACACAAAGATCCATGTTCTAAATCCACCTCCTCCTGGTAGCCTTTTTTCTGACTAACCCTAAGCCAGTACCTCCAAGGCAGACAACATGGTGGTTAATAGCCAGGGCTTTAGTCAGATAGATCGAGTTCATCTTTGGTCTATATCAGCTGTGCAATCTTAGGACAAGTCACTCAAATCCTTCTAAGCCTGTTTTCTCATCTTTGAAATAGGAATTATCTCAGGGTTGATTTGAGGAGTGAATTAGATTACGTACACACATTGGTAAAGTCAGTGCCAGGCATAGTGAGTGCTCAACAAATGGAACCCATTAAGAGCATCACTCTTTTTCACTACAGATGGATGAACCAACTGTTTCCACCATTTAATAATTTGTAATTTATTCCATGCTGTTGCTTCTGAATCAAATTATCTTTCCAATGGGTATTTATGTGTATTTTAGCTTCCCACTCAAACTGAAGCTACCAGAGGGAACTCTCAGCTATGGCTCTGCAACACTCAGGACAAGATCTTGTACACAGTGCATACTCAGTCCAAGTTCCAAGATAGGCAATCTACTTCATGTTTACCATTTCTGGCTGGGTTCATTTACAGAAAGTGTCAGGATAGGAATAACCTGATCTTTCTAGATTCTCATTTATACTCTTCTTCTAAGATGGCTGGATGAGAAGAACTATCTGGCTTCCAAAGGACATGGGGGTTGCCTGGTAAGCACTGACTCTCTCCTGTCAGGCTAGCATAGCAAAGGGTTTTCCTCCAGCGCAACTGTGAAGCACAAGGTTTGGCAAAGAAGAGAAAAGATGCCCCTCCTTAAAAACTCTCCCAGAAAAAGCAGGTACTCACCAAGGAGGGGGTGGAAACAAACTTGGTGCACGCGTACATTTTCAGGGGATGAGGGGCTGTGGCAGGAGAGCTGGAATTACAGAAGCGGCATTGTCAACATTGTCCTTGCTCACCAAAGGACATCCTTATTAGCAGAAAAAGTGCTCTGGAAATTTAATTGGTCCAGAGAGCAGGGTGACTGACCTCAAGTGTTAGAAGAGATGCAGTTAGAACCCTGAAGTCAAGATCTCCTTATAATCAAGTGACTTCCCCTGGTTTGAACAAGTAGCCACTTAATCCCAGCTTTAAGACCTGTTATCCACTTTCCATAGCCTTTTAGAGTTAGGGTTTTTGGAGGCACTTCCCCAGAGTGTCCTTTACCTGAATTTTCCTCAGTTTCTATTCAAAAGGCACCCTTCTCAAGACCTCACTGTCTGGGCCTTAAAAAGTTGCCCTTTAAAGACTCTTGGGAGATATCTGTTGAAGGCCAAGACACTGGAAGGATCTCCAACAATCTAAAAAGATTAATTACCTGGAAGTATTTGACTCCTCAAAACATTTCAATTTCAGGGCCGGCCGAATGGCTTGTTGTTTAAGAGCTGGTTTGGGATGCCAGCTCTGAGCAGCAGGGCCCCAGTTCGGATCCCACATGAGGGCCAGTGACACTGCCCTCTACAGCTAAGATGGTGAACAACAGCTCGACCTGGAGCTGGGCTGCCATGAGTCGCCGGTGACGGCATAGGCTGCATCCCCTGCTGCAGTGGGCTACCATAAGCTACTGTGAGTGGCTGGCAGCTGGTGTGAGATGCCAAGAGCTGCTGTGAGCGGCTGTCCAGAGGCCAGTGACTGATCTGCCTCATTCAGGAAAAGCACAATGATAATACCAACATGGGCCAGTGAAGCGATGTCCTCCACTGGCCCAAGTTGGCACCATCATTGCACTCTTCCCAGGCGAGGCAGTTCAGTTGCCAGCTTCTGGACAGCTGCTCACAGCAGCTGTTGGCAGCTCACGCTGGCCGCTGGCTACACATGGTAGCCCATGGCAACTCACTGCAGCACAGGCTGCAGCCTACGCCGTCGCCAGCGACTCACGGCAACCCAGCTCCAGGTCGAGCTGTTGTTCAGCATCTTAGCTGTAGAGAGCAACGTCACTGGCCCTCATATGTGGGATCCGAACAGGGGCCCTCTGGCGTCCCAAGCCAGTTCTTAACCAACGCGCCACTCGGCCAGCCCTCTTACATAAATTTAACAGCGTGAGGGCAGATCAACGAGGAACTTTGCCATTACTCTAATTAGCAATGATTGTTAAGTACTAATTTTCACCATTATACTAAGAGGTATTCAATTTTGTATCCCCAAGATCTAAAACAATGTTAATACCCTGTAGGTGCCTAAGTTGGTAGAACTGAACCTGAGGGTAAAGATGGTATATGCATTAAAAAACGCATATTCTTGGCTCATGCCTTGACCTTCCCGATCAAGATTTCTGGGGTTAAGGTCCAAGTACTGTGTATTTCAAAAAAGCTTCCCAAATGATTCTTACGTAGACTGGTCTACATAGCATGGTCTAAAAACCAGTCTTGAACCTATGGTAGTGGCAGAGGCTGGGCTTGAACTGTTCTCACAAGTGAATGCTTTCTAATATGCTATAGGTTGAAATACTCAGTGATTACTCAGGCCTGTTAAGTGACACTTCCTTAAATGAGCTGGTTATACTACAATCTGGAATCTTAACTACTTTTAGATTAATGGATGTCTTCAATCCTTGTCTTTTCTAGAACTCTTAATTTCTGCCCCATGTGTAACTCTAACCCAATTTTGCTGCTAGACTATTCAGTTTTTCCCAATTTTGCTGCTGGACTATTCAGTTTTTCTTTGGTCAAAAGCCAAAATCGCTTTACAAGAGTCCTTTTTTTCCATGGAATTAAGCCTCAAAATCATTTGTAAAATGTAGTACTTAGTGGGATTAATCAAAATAACATATGCAAAGAGCTTAATGTGGTGCTGGCATATAATAAGCCCACAACAAAGGGTGGCAATTAAGGGAGCCTGCAAAGTGGTCACCTAACCTTGGTTAAGTCTGCAATTGTTAGCCTACACCCAGAACCAGAGGGCCTAAATCATCATGGGTTTCTTCCTCAGTATAGATGGGAAAGTTACAGGGCCGTTGGCTTAACCATTCTCTTCCTTAAACCTTCTTTTTCCTCTTGAGGGTATTGTCTGGGAAGTCTCCGTAAACTAAACCCTTGACAGAAGAGCTGACAGGTGCAGAGTATCCCACTGCAGGTCCCACCCCACCCTTTTGAGCCTGCTGCCTCTAACGGAAAACCTATTAGCCCACCACTTGTGTTTTTTCTAGCTTCACATGCGTGAAAGGAAGAGAACAGTGCTGGGAGACAACCAAAAGTTCCTAAGAAACCGGCCTCTTTTCTGCTATAGCTCTCGTAGATCACAGCCTAAAGGGAGAGGGTGTTTTGGCTGTTCTATGCACTTCTACCACGTTCACGGTTTACTTTTTAAATTGAGGGGTGCTGAGTGGAGGAGTTGGTGGCTTTAAATGATCCATTACATCCATTGCTCAGCACCTGATGTCCTGAAGTCTGGAGGTTTCAGGAGAATGAAAGAACGGAGTGAGAATGAGAGGAGAAAGCAGAAATAAGAGAGATTCTGGGGGTTGTGACGCTTCTGACAGGGCAAGACGGTAATAAAGTGTTTGTAAGGGCTGGGTCGGAACAGGTGAAATGAGCACGCTGGGATTTGGCTTGCGCCAGCTCCAAGGCGCCCTCCCCGTTCGAGATATCCAAGATGGCGCCAAGCACGCGCGGTTGGAGGTCACCGGCACACAGAAAGGGCCGACCTAAGGCGCGGGGATACCGGGAGCGAGGGAGGACGTGAAAACCCCAGTGGGAGCATGCAAGGTAAGGGCCTCAAAGGATCCGCGCAAAGTAGGGTATCCCGCGCGCCTGTGCGGCGCAAAGCGGGCGCGAGGGCCCAAGGCCTTACCTGCTCCCAGGGCAGAGAAGACAGAGAGGGAGGGGGGCGGGAATAGCGAAAGGAAGGCTCAGCGCATGCGCGGCAGGGACCAACGAGTCGCTCCGCCAAGGATAGAGTGATTGCAACGTTGAGGCGGCCCAGGCGCCACAGCGCCGCCTGCCAGCTCCGTGGCGGCATCTGGCTAGTCGCTCCACCTGGCGTTTGAGAGGAGAAACAGCCGGCGGAGCCGACCGTGTACCGAAATGAGTACAATTACGCAGTGTAAGCCGATCCATAACGCATAACGTGGCCTGCTGTTTGGTTTGCACAGCGTTTGGGATCTTGGACTAGCGTCCCCTTCCCAAGCATGCGCAGTCACTTTGGAAAAAAATTTTTTTACCCAGAAAGTCAGTTTTAAATAGCATACAATCGGGATTGGGGTTCATTGCCCAAAGTGCAGCAGAAGAAAAATGAAGACATGGGGTTCCTGCCTTCTGTTGCCCCCGGAAGTCTGGCTTTATGGATGGGAAACCCGTTCAATGGCCCAATAGTTTTCAAAACGCTCCAGCTGCCTCTGGTGGCTTTGCCTTTATTTCCCTCTCCCTCTTTCTTCATTCCAGTGACCAGCCATGAGGAAACCAACATCAGTGAACCAGAAGATGGGGGCTAAAGATGACTGGGACTCAAGCACACTGACATTAAGTCCTGAGACTGTCAAGGACTATGACACCACTAACCGCTGTGAGGTTGCAAGGTCGCCCCGGGCATGCTAGTGCCTCTGCCCAGGCTTCATCTACTCGAGTTGAGTGAGATATGCCGACTCCCTCCCCTGAGATGGTCCCGTGGAAATCCCTAGGCTTCTCCCTCATGCCCTTTCGCTCATCCTTCCCCCATGTAAGGAAGTGGGGGACTTCCCGCCCCTCATCGCTTCTTCTAGGCCTCTTTGTCTCCCAGACAGGGGCTCACCAGCCACTTTGGAAGAGGGCCGCAAGGCCTACCTAGTTCCCCTCATGTCCAAACCTCAGCCGTCCAGGTATCGTGCTTGAAAGCAGCACGAGAAAGACGGGGAAAGCGCACCAAACCCCCATAAAAAAATATAAAAAATAAAAATAAAGCCGCGGCTGTAAATAAAGCCAAATCCGCCACCCTCTGAGGGGCCGTTTGTCCTCCCCTCCTTGGCCCCGTCCTTCCCGCCGCCCCCTCCGGTTCCCGGGCCCCGCGGCGCCCCGGCCCCGAGCTCCTCCATTTAATCGGATTTGGGAGAAGGGGAGGATAAATCACAGCAGCAGCTTTACGGTCCCGGAGGAGAGGCGAGCCGCAGCCAGGCACACCCCGGCCGGCGATAAAAACCGCCGCTGAAAGCCCACGGAGCAATTTCCCGGGACCCCGAGCGACGCCATTACAGGAATGTAATTTTGCCCGGATGAGGCCCCGAGTTTAATTATCCTCGCGGAGGAATTTCAATGCGGCCAATCCATCTTGCAGGCGGGCGGCAGAGGGATTTATATGGGCCCGTTATTTCACACCGATCCTCCATCTGCATTTTTATGGCCCTGAGCTCCTGAAAGGGAGGAGAAGGAGTGGGCAGAAATAGGAGAGATCGGAGTAGCGGGCGCGGAGAAACGGGTGGGGGGGACTTCCCACCCTTCCTAAATCCACGATTCCAGCTCAACGAGGATTCTCTCACTGGTTCCCCTGAAATCCCCAAATCTCCCTTCAGTTCCAGTGGTTGTCTTGGGGGAGGAGGGTAGGTGAGGAATGGAGCTGGGAGGGATCCTTGCGAATTAATCAACAGGTATTTACCAAGGACCAAGCAGTGCCAGGCACCGTGCCAGATGCTGTGAGGGGCAAGGCAAGACAGGGTAGTGAGAAAGGACTTCCTCTGAAGTCTCCAGACACCCCAACCCGCTCATACTGAATTCTTTTTAGCTCTCAGTGTCACATCCTCCTCGAGGCAAAAAGTCCACAGTTCTGCTACCACCAAACAGTTGTTGCAGCTGTTGCGACAATTTAGACCCCTCTCAGATATCGATAACAATCCCAAAGGAGGTTTGGAGAAGGGGCCTGTGAGGAAGCTAAAGCTCGCTGCTCCCAAAAGTTGTTGCAGCCTGCAATGTTTAATTCTTCCTTACTCCCAATTCACTGGATTCAGACAAACCTGGGTTCCCAAATCGCTGTGTGACCTTGGACAAGCTGTTTAATCTCTCTAAATCCATGACCTCCCATGTAAATTGGGAATAATGATAGTGCTGACCCCAGAGCGGACACTGGGATAATATAGGTGAAGCTTTTAGCAAGGTGGTTGGAACTCATTATAGTTAGGGGTATAGCAACTCAATTCTTCACTGATCCCTAGAGACTGTATTACAAGGTCCTTTCAATGATATCTCTTGAAAGAGACTCAACTATCACTTACTGAACTTTTTCACCTATATAAATCATGCAAAACAAGTTATTTGACAGGCTGGGAGTGGAGATCTGAGAATCCTGTGGGCTATTGCTATTAGGTTGGAAGTCAGAAATTAAATCAGTAGGGGAACAATGAGAGTACAAAAAGTGGATGTGGGTATGTCAGGGAGGAATTTGAAAACAACAAAAGATGATCCAAGAGAACAGTGGCAAAGGGTCTAGGGATTTTCATTATCAAGGGCATGGGAAAGGGTCCTTCCTTCACTGAGGGAAAACGGTTGGGAAGGAAAGGGTGTGGAGCCAGAACTATCCTTTCCAATCAATTCCTTTCTTTTCCTACCAGACCATGTAACAAAGTTGGCCTGATTGGCCAGCTTTTCTAATGACTGCTAGTGACAGATTCTGACTGGTTAGCAGCCTCCCTGCACAGCGGTGACGAAGAAATGAGATTGATCTTTTCTTTCTTCGGATTGGTTAACAACTCTCAGGGGAGCCAGAGACTCATTTTAATTGACTGGATAGGCTAGGAGGGAGGTTCAGCACCTCTCTAATAGAAATACTGAGTGTTCTTTTCCACAAAGGTCACCAAGAAAGAGTCTTGATTGGCTTATGCATGTTTACTTTTAGACGGGAAACACAGTAGCTTAGTGAAGAAGAATCAAGAGAATCACGCAGGTATGCCACACAGTTCAATTTGAAACCACAAACAGAGAGAGGGATTTACCAGAGAGAAACATAAGAGGGACAAAGAGAGAGAGACTAGGACACAAGGAAACACAAAAAAGTTTTCCAGAGAGAAGAGGAAGGGTTTGAATGATATGTTTTTCATTCCTGATGCTCTAAGATAAGGCTACTTTATGATGCATTTTGCTAGATGCACATGTTGCCAGCATGTAGTGTGGAAAGAATAGCTGTCCTGGAAACGAGACTAGGAGTCTAGTCCCAGCCTTACTACTAACTAGCTGAGTAATTCTGCAAGTTACTTAATCTCTCAATCGGGGAGAGAAGTAGGTGATCTCTAAGGTTCCCTCCAGTTTTAACTTTCTAGGACTCTCTTTCTTTCTGCTAAATATGCAATTTTGTACAAGTTGAAGTAGTATCTTTGCACTACCAATAAGGACTATTCTTAGGTCTTGAGCTCCTCTATTTGTAATTGTTGATTTCAAGCTCCTGGTGGGCACTGACATGGATTTTCTATTTCTTCTTGCTAAATCAGTTCCCCAGGATAGCAGGACCAAGAGCTATCAGCAAACCTACTTGCTTAGGGAGAAAGAAAATGCTAAGTGGAGGAAGGGAAAGGGTCATTTGTATCCAGGCTTCTGAGGGAGGGATCAGTGGAAGAATTGGTGGCAGAGCAAATTTTTGCTGGGGAAGAATCTAAGTTCCTCTGAATTTGTACAGGTCTCACATATTTAGAGGCCATGATTAAATATCTATGTGAACAAATTTGGTCCCTGCCATTTGGTGGCTCCCAAGCAAGGAACACACACGGACAAAACAGAAAATAAAAGTCATTGTGACATATTGTGAAGAGCTAATGACAGCAAACTAGAGATCTGAATCTAGATTTTGGAATACTACTAATTAATTATGTGACTTTGAGAAGATCACTTCCCCTCTCTGGACTCAGTTTTCTCACCTACAAAATATAGGAGAACACTAGATGATTATTAAGTACTTTTTCAGTTTTAAATATAGGTAGCAAAAGATCTGTTCTTGGTTTGTCCTTATCTCCTGTGACTTCAAGTGATCAGCCAATATTTATTAAACATCTACTATGTGCAAGGTATTGTGCTACAAATTGTGAGTGGGAATAAAGAAGGAGGAAGCATAATCCCTTTCTCTTCATAAATTTATAATCAGTAAGAAAGACATGTACATATAAGTCTATATGTACTACACTATGCAGCAGGATTTAATAGGTTGTATGGGTAATAGGAGTTGAGGAGTCAGTATGACTTCCAGCTAGAATGATCAAAGGGTACTATGATTAAAGTAGTTTCTTTTCTCCTTTAAAAAAAAAAGAAATATTTGAATCATATAAAATGTAAATAATGTATATCTTTTGTTTAACAGATATTTATTGAGGTCCTACATGCCAGGCACTGTCCTAGGTGCTAGAAACACAGATGTGAACAAAATACAACAAAAATCCTTTCCTTTCCAGAGCTGACATTTTGTATAAATCATGAAGCATAATAATAAAATGGACAGCCATTAAACCACCCCTAATTTGGGAAAAGAAAAAAACATTACCAATACCACTGAGGGGTCCACAGGGCTTCTCTCCTATAGTAGCCCCTGAATTTTATGTTTATCATTTCAAGGTTTTTCTTGATATTTTTGCCATATATTGTTTATTTTGGGCCCCCTTTCTGCCGGCCAGCCCCACTGCAGCCTACACTTGAGCTGTTGTTCACCATCTTAGCTGTAGAGGGCAGTGTCACTGGCCCTCATGTGGGATCTGAATCGGGGCCCTGCTGTTCAGAGTTGGCATCCCAAGCCAACTCTTTTTTTTGTTTGTTTGTTTGTTTTTAAAGATTTTTATTGGGGAATTGGTGGATGGGAACAGCGCTGGGGAATTGGGGGAAGGGAAACAGACAAGTTGCTGTCCTTTTGTTCTTCAGTCTAGTTGTGGAGGACGTTGTTTCACTGGCCCAAGTTGTGCACTCTTCCCAGGTGAGGCACATCAGTCGCCGGCTTCTGGACGGCCGCTCACTGCGCCTGCTGGCCGCTCACGCTGGCTGCTGGCTACACACAGTAGCCCATGGCAACCCACTGCAGCAGGGGCTGCAGCCTACGCCTTCGCCCTCGACTCATGGCAGCCCAGCTCCAAGTTGAGCTGTTGTTCAGCATCTTAGCTGTAGAGGGCAGTGTCACTGGCCCTCATGTGTGGGATCCAAACCGGGGCCCTCTGTCATCCCAAGCCAACTCTTAACCAACGCACCACTCGGCCGGTCGTTTGTAGGCTTCTTTGCTTGTTCTTTTCATTTAATGTCATGTTTCTAAGATTCATCCATGTTGATGTAGGTAGCTATAGTTTATTCATTTTCATTGGTATATAATAGTCCACCAATATGTTGATTAATTCCCCTGTTGATGAATATTTTGTTTCCAGCTTTTTGCTATTACAAACAATGCTGCTTAGAACATTTTTGCACATGTCTCCTGGTATACATGGGAATAGTTTCTTCAGGATATATATAAAAGGGAATTGCTCAGTTGTAGGATATGAATATCTTCAACTTTTCTAGTTAATGTCAAATTGTTTTCCAATATTTATGCCCATCAAAATATGTAAGAGTTTCAGTTGCTACCCTGTCCTTACCAACTTTGGTATTTAGTCAATCTGTTGAATATAAAATGGTATTTCATGGTGGTTTGAATTTGTATTTGCCTGATTATTAATGAGGTTAGCATCTTTTCATATATTTATTGGCCACTCATGTTTCCTCTTCTGTGAAATGCCTATTTGTGTATATCTTTTGCCCATTTTCCTATTGGGTTATTTGTCATCTCCCTATTGATTGTTTTTTAAAGAAATTAACAAATATAGCTATCTTGCCTAGTACTGATCCTTTGTTAGTGGCAGTTATCTACTTCCAGAGGGGTTGGGATTTTAGTAGAGGCTTAAAGGATGGATGATTTCAGTTCCAGCTCAGAGTTCTCATTTAGTTGGATTAATTAATTCTTAATTCATTCATCAAATATTTATTGAATGTCTAGCCAGACATCATGCTAGACGATGAGAATACAATCCCACGGTTGTTTACCCCTTACCACTTCCAAAACCTAGTTGGGCCCAAGCCACTGAAATCTCTTGCTGGATCACTACAATAGCCTCTTAACTGGTCTCCCTAATTCCAATCTGGTTTTGCCACAGTCTAGTCTTCACACAGTAAGTAGCTAAACTGATCTTTTAAAATGTAGATCAGATACCTGAAACTAATAATAATAAAAAAAGTGAAAAAATAATAATAAAAAAATAAAATGTAAATCAGATAATGCAACTTAAAACTTTCCAATAGTTTTCCAGTACTCACAGAAGAAATTCAGCTACAGTAGACTGCTACTGATACTCAAACAGACCAAACTTGTTCCCACTCAGGCCCTTTGCTGTTTCCTCTTCCTGGAACATTCTTCTCCCAAATCATGCTCATACTCTCATATCATTTAGGTCTCATCTCAAATATCACCTCCTTAGAGAAGCCTTTCCTGACCACCCAATCTAAATAGCCACCACCTTCCCTTCTTTATCTCCTTATGTCCTCCTTTATTTTTCTTTATAGCATTTGTCATAGTTTTATTTTTACTTTTTATAGCTTACCCCTCCCCCGCAACTGGAAGGTAAGCTCCACTAAGGCAGGGACCTTGTTCACCACTGTATCCTCAGCATTTAGAACAGTACCT